GTGATTCAGGTGATTCCAGTGATTCCGGGGAAGTTGTTAGAAATGCAAATCAATGCACCTAACCAGTTTGAAGCCCTGCAGTAAACTTCAGTCTATACATTTGCCTCCTCTAGTTATTTCATGTGAGTGGGATCGTTCAGTCTTTGTCTGTAGTAGTTTGTTATGGATTCTTTAGGATTTTCTATATACAACATCATGTCATCCGCAAGTGAAGATAAACTTCTGTCTTTCTGGATGCCTTTTATTTCATTTTCCTGCCTAATTGTCCTGGTTAGATGCTGCTGTACAACCCTGAATAGAAGTGGTGAGAACAGACATCATCTTGTTTGTAATATTAGGGGGAGAACATTTAGTCTTTCACCATTAAGTATGCTGTTAGCTCTAGGGTTTTTGTAGATGCCCTTTATCAGAGTGAGGCATTTCTGTCATTTTTTATGTATTTATCTCCACCTACCTCAAAACCTCCTGGCAAATCTTTTGCACGTAATAAATGGTCAGTATATATATAGTAGATAAAACCTTTAAAATAGTTTAAATCTCAAGTCTTATCATGTGCTGAACACTTACTTCCATTTTCTTTTCTCACAAAAGCAGTACTGTCTTATTTTTGACACTCGTTTCATGTTTTAATGATCAAGTAGTTTTTTTGTGATGAAGTGGCACACCATACTAAATATTTCAGTTTTATTTCCTTTTATGTTACTAATTGAGATAAATAGACTTATTCCCTGAGATGTACAAATGAGATAAACAACATATTTTCACAGAATTTCATATCTAGTCTGTTTTTCTTTTACCAAGTTGGGCAGAGTATGTTGTGGTAGTGTCCCGTTCAGGTTAGCATCTTCGAGAGCTGAATGCCTAGAGTCCCTCCTGCTGTCAGAGTGGTGTGTTTTATAGACAAGTAGATGTGTTTGGGAGTTGGTCGTGGTGGTCTCCTCTTTCCCTCCAGGCACTTGTGTTCTTGTGTGATACGATACACCTTGCTGGTTCTGTCTGTTAATATCAGTGTTGCCGCAGTGTATACAGAGATGAGGAAAAAATAAATTACCATAAAATTAGAACCAGATGTGAAATGAGAGGTGTTTCAGAATTAAATGAAGGGGAAAAACCTGTTGTGTTTGTTTTCTGTTAAGACTGTAGTAGCTATATGGGGAAGTAGTTTTGGACGGCCGCATAGAATCCTTGGGGGAATGAGGACACTACACATGTAAACAGAGAGGTCTTTGACAAAGTGAGATTGTTAGTGGAGATTTCAGGCACACTTGGGTTTTGTTTTGTTTTGTTTTTTACATTACTATACTATGTGATCAAGTTTTTACATATTTTGAAAAAACAGTAATTATTCCTCAATGCAATTCTACCCTGTTTTTCAGATTTGTACTATGGTGGGGAAGCTTTCTCTGTAGAGCAGCCACAGTCTTTTACTTGTCCCTATTGTGGAAAAATGGGCTATACGGAGACATCGCTTCAAGAACATGTTACTTCTGAACACGCAGAAACATCAACAGAAGTGGTAAGCAAAGCAGCCTTGTGTCTAAATGGTGTGGTAAAGTACATTATTCCTAAAATAAAGCTAGGTCACTCTCATTTACCTCCTGCTAAGTGTACTGTTTGCATAATAATTATTGAAATTGTCTTTTAACAGGAAATTTTACACATCCTAGGAGGCTGCATTTGGACAAGATAATGCCCTTTATTTCACCACACTAGCCTTTCTTGTCCTCTTGGTAAAAAGCACAGTACTTGGAGTCTTGATCAAATTCATGAGCCCTTTATTAAATGCATCGTAAAAAAGTTAAAAAAAGTACTCCAAACTGCAACATGTCCCTTTTTATAGTCGTCTTGCTACTTGCTTAATTTTTCTCCTATGAGGAAATTGAAAAAGCTTTGGTTAGTAAGCAGTAGTCCATTCTTATTGTAGCACATCACCAACCTTACTTGGTTTCATTCTAGAAAGGTTTGCTTCCTAGGTCAAAGCTTCCCAGAAGTTCCTCCTAGTCTGAAGTAGTCCAGCGGCCAAAAGCCGAGGACCCACAATAGTACACAAAGAAAAGTCTTACTTGAAAGCTTTTGGGATTCTTTGCTTGACGTCTGAGTCGTCATGCATCCAATTTCAAGAAATGATAAAGTACACTCTAGGGACACTCCTACCCCTAGTCCCATCCCACCCACCCCCCCAGTTACCATTGGTAATAATAGGTAAAGTGGACGCTTAGTATGAACTGTAGATATTGAACTTGGAGAATTTTGGCGTCCAAAAAAAAAAAATTGCACATTGCAGCAACCAATAAACCCCTAAATGCACTCAAAACAAACATTGAAACCCAAAGAAATAAAGTAGCATGTCAAAGGGTATAAGCTAGTAATGGACAGAGCCAAGTGTTTGAACTCAGCCAGAGACCCTATTAACCACTTTCCTATTCTGCCTCCACTATCGCTATGACATTACAGCCATGAGTAATACAGCTTCACTTTCAATCCCATTTACACTGCTAGTTTGAGGCTTAAAGTTGTTCTAAGATTTATAGCTCAAACAGTTGGCGCATTTACATTATGTAGACCTCAAGCCAAATTTTACTGCCTAACAGCTCAGAAATGCCCTTATCATGCACCTTGGAGAGCCTTGGAACACTGTTGGAACATTTTACTGCCATTTTTAATTCTTCCTTTCTTTTTATTCTGTAAAAGTGACTTTGCCTCCTTTTGGTACAGTCTCAGATACTAGTATGAAGAGTCTGACTTGACTGCATCTCTATCCTGGTTGTTGGAGAAAACTTGCAAGATTTCTCTTTGATTTCATTTCTGTTTGGGTACTTGGTTTACCTATCTACAGTAAAAGAGGTTCCCTTGCTGTAAATTAGGCCTTTTAAAACTCATTATTAGGCTGTAGGCTCTACTATAGTAACTTTCATCACTCCATTGGGCAGAACAGCTGCCCAAGTTTCCACATCCAAAATTGGAGAATCCAGTGGGAATTTAAATCCATTCCATGAATGAAAAAAATATATACCGTTTTGGAAGTAAGACTCAACCGCTTAGTGGCCTTGCCTTTATTATTATTTTTATGCCTTTGTTACTAATCTGCATACTTTATGAGTTTATTTTACAATTTATATATTGTTTTAAAATTTTTATTGTGTGTATATAAATAAAATGTGCCATTTTAACCATTTTTAAGTGTACAATTCAATGACATTGGTTACATTCACAGTGTTGTACAGCCATCATCATTATCTGTTTCCAGAACTTTTTCATCACCCCAAATAGAAACTCACTACCCATTAAGCAATAACTCCCCATTGCTCCCTCCCTCCAGCCCCTGGTAACCACTCATCTCCTTTGGTCTCTAGATATTCTAGAGACAGACCTATTTTAGATATTTCATGTAAGTAGGTCCTCCATTTTTTTTTCCCTCTCAAAGTATAATACTCAGAATTTCTTTACACTCCTCTATACTTGATACAGGAGCCCTGCTGGTGCAGTGGTTAAGAGCTTGGCTGCAAACCAGAAGGTTAGCAGTTCAAATCCACCAGCTGTTCATTAGAAACCCTGTGGGGCAGTTTTGCCCTGTCCTATAGGGTCGCTATGAGCCAGAATTGACTTGACAACAGTGGGTTTGGTTTTTGGTTTTATACTTGATACAAGGAGACTTGGTGGCCCAGTGGTTAAAGCGCTTGGCTGCCAACCAAAAGATCAGTGATTTGAGCCCGCCAGCCACTCTGTGGGAGAAAGATGTGGCAGTCTACTTCCATAAAGATTTATAGCCTTGGAAACCCTACGGGGCAGTTCTGCTCTGTCCTGTGGGGTCACTATGAGTCAGAATCAACTCGGCGGCACATAACATACTTGATACACAGTTTGAAAATTAAATACTCACCATCTACAAATGATTTTGTGGTTTGTCTGTCTCCCACAGGTTTTGTTCAGCTATGCACCTTCATTGAGATCTCAGGCTTTCTGTACATAGCCCAATGCAGTGGCCATACTAGTTTTTCATATTGGCTTTTGTGGAATATTTCAAGGGTTATTTCTTCCTCAACAGCTCTTAGTCTTTGCATGAGTACCGCATCCTCTGTTCCCACCTGTCATGGATTGAATTGTGTCCCACCAAAATATCTGTGAACTTGGTTGGGTCATGATTCACAGTATTGTATGATTGATTTCCCTATGTGTTGTAAATCCTATCACCGTGATGTAGTAAGATGGATTAGCGGCAGTTATATTGATGAAATCTGCAAGATTAGACAGTGTCTTAAGCTAATCTCTGTTGAGATATAAAAGAGAGAAGCAAGCAGAGAGACATGGGGACCTCATACCACCAAGAAAGCAGTGCCGGGAGCGAGTGTGTCCTTTGGACCTGAGGTTCCTGCGCTGAAATGCTCCCAGAACAAGGGAAGACCGATGACAAAGACCTTCCTCCAGAGCTGACAGAGAAAGCCTTCCCCTGGAGCTGATGCCTTGAATTTGGACTTATAACCTACTAGACTGTGAGAGAATAAGTTTCTCTTTGTTGAAGCCATCCACTTGTGGTATTTCTGTTATAGCAGCACTAGATGACTAAGATACCACCTATAACACCACAAGGCATTTAAAGTGAAATGGCGAGCAGACAAGTATCTTTGATATGAAGGTGCAGGGCTTTTTCTTCTTTGAATTGTGTGGACGATGTCCTAGATCCTGACACAAGTATGGCTTACCAGCTAGTGTCCATCCTGAATGATTGGTGCCTGTGCCATACCGTTTGTCAAACATTTTGAATGCCTTCCTGTGTCTATATGAAGCATGTTATCAGCTCTAATAATGTTATTTATATGTAAATGTCCAGGTGATATTACCATGTGTCTCTCCCCTATCCCCCACCCCAGTGTTTCGCCAATTTCACGGTTATTGAAAAGTTTTTGAAGTACGGAGTTCAGGAGTAGCTCCCATCTTTTCAGTGGAGGAAGATAATATCCACATAAAAAAGTGGCTGTGTCTGCTTTTCTATTCCTGTTTACATTTTTTCTTTTTAACTGCTCAGTTTGCTATCATGCTTTGCCCATGTGTTTTCTGCATATGTGCTCTAGACCACGAGTTTGTACCTCCCTACAGGACCTCAGGATCTCACTCCTCTAACCAGCATCTCTTTGGAACATTTGTGGGCAAGAAGATATCACTGTCACCATTAGTATTGGTAACCTGACATAGCTAGTAAGAAAGTAAACTGAAGGTTAATTGTGTGGGGGGGGGGGGGGCTGTGGGTGTATAGTAACCATCACCAGTATCCATTTCCAAATTTTTGCATCACCCTTGCCAAGAAACTAAGTACCCCCAAGCAGTGACTCTCCCTTTACCTTCCCTCCTGCCCCTGATAACCAGTAATGAACTTTGGTCTCTGTACACTTGATATTCTTTTGTGAATGACTTATTTCACGCAGCATAATTTTTCAAGGTTCATCCATGTTGTAACACAAATCAGGACTTCATTTCTCTGAGTAATATTATTCGGCTAAAGGTTAATTTTTAAAACAACTTTGTAGTCCTTGTCTATATTTTTTGCCTCTTCTTTCAACTAGGGACTCTAAGGCCCAACCTAAGATTTGACTTCTTCCATATGATTAACTTAAGAAGGCTTATCAAGAGGCTTTTAATTTTGAGTGTATGGAGGAAAAAAGAGGCCAAGTACCTTCAAAATCAGATACTAGGAAAAATCACATCTGTCATAGAATGCATAGTGGAAGTGGTTACTGGTTAAAAACTTTTAAAAGCGCCAGCTTGAAGTTGTTTCACATGTCAGAAGCTCAGAAGAATGGTAACGGTGATTATTATTCACTGGGATTTAGAGTACTGGGTGGGGCGGGATTGGGTAAGATGCAACCCTAGTTCAAGATTCCAGAGAATTAAGCCAGTGCTTGGTAAGAGAATAATGAGAGAGAGATAACAATAAAGGACAAAAAAATGGAGAGCCAGGAGCGATAAACTGGGCAAATTTTGAACAAATGCTGGCAGAAAGTAAGCTAGACATTAAATATATGATTCATATAAAATATGTTGTACTTTTTAAAATTTTTAATTTAAGGAAGTAAGTAAATAGACCTTTGTTTTCAGCTTGCATGAGGCACTCTCTTTGGTACTTTCCACATAAAGGGAATTTTGCTTCATGTCAGAAACAATTTAGAGCAGATTAGGTAATGTACTTAACTCTCAAGACTCTTTACATAAACACGAAATACGGTAAACATTGTGATTTTGATATTTAGCACAATTTTTTTTTTTAAACCCTCATAGTTAACACTGGTATTTGATAGATTGTAACAACTGATTACTTCATGAGAGGGGAAGTAATACAGTATGCAGTTATCAAACCCTAATCCATCAACCTGGTAGTTGAAGTGAGCAGTAGAGGACAAATGAGATTATAAATATGAAGGCTCTATTGAGGAAGTATTAGCATCCTGGAGCATATGTACGAACACGTCGGGAGAGCTTTTCTTTTGCTTTTACATCTATTTGAATGTAAAAGGCCGTTAAGAG